CCCCCCCCCTTGTTGTTCATGTAAAATAAAAAAGAATCAAGGAAACACATGATGACGAAGAGCTTACATTGACAAACTAAAGTAAAATGCTTCGTGTTTGTTTTCGTATATTCTTTTCCAGAACCTGTTAAAACTCGACCAGCTAAACCTAAAGGTAAGTTCACTTTAATTTGGTCCTAATTTCAAGATCTCAGGTTCATGAAATTTTCCTGAAGCCCTCAAGGTTTCGGCCAACGTTGGAAATAGTAGCTTTAAGATAAAGCTTCACACTTATTTACTTTTCGTATCCTGGATTGCGACTTATTTCTCTGTTTTTGTTCTTCTTTAGCCGTAGACAATTCTTCCCTAGAGTTCCTTTGCAAAGCTAGTACATTGCCTGACTTTACGTTCCTTTTCGTAACACCTCATAGGTATAAGGTGTCATGACCCTTGCAAAAAATGGCTCGAGCGAGGACAGTGCACGACTAGATGGCGAAGACGTTGTATTAGGACGTGTTTAACTTTAGGATGTGACGAGGAACCCGTGAGGCCAGAAGGTGAGAAACCGTCTTTTCTTTTTTTTTCTTTGTACTATCGTGATAATGTTGTCCATCTGATATTGAGAAATTATTGGATGATGTTCAGCATGATATGATGAATTATCAATGCCGAGGTCTGCGTTATCTGCCGAAGCCAAAGGCAGATAACGCTAACAAGAGGCTTGACAATTCATAATATCATGCGAAAACCGAATTCACTAATTATTTTATTACACATTTTTTAAATGAAACAAGCTGGAAAAGAAGGAAGTGCGCTCTGAATTTGCAAAAGTTTGAGAACACAACACGCACGAGGGGCTTGGAAACTAGGCAGATTTTGAACTTGACATGATAACCCAATAGCTGCTGCAGATAGGTGCTTTAACAGCGAATGAGAGACAGAGGTTTCATTAACTCCCATGAGTGACCAAGACAGAATTTCACCTTGCAATATCTATACAATATCAACCAGATAAGTGATGAGAATAAAGAATGAGATCAATTGGGGATAATTAGTTGAGCTAATACTAAATTCTCTGAATTAACAATATAAAAGTTGTATGGTTGACAGTAAGGAGAATTACAAATTTAATCTGGGAGTTTAAGGGTTAAAAGCGGGTAACTGGCGGTCTACCGCCGCCCATAAGACCTCCTGCAGCCAGGATCTTGTTTGGGTTTTCCCCTACGGCACAGCCGCCTATGACATCATCGAAAGCCGCCTGTGGAAAAAGTTATCGAAATCCTTGGGAGGGGCCATTGAGTTTTATCAGAAACCAGAGAGCCAGCGAGAATTCAAACTTTGTTAGACTTGCTGGATAAGGAAAAAAATCATGGATTCCGGCAAAGCTGAAAAAGCAAAAAAACTGAAAAATAATTTTAACATAATCTTAACTGGCCCAATCCCCAAAACCGAAAGATCCAATTAATCCCCCCCCTCCCTCAGACAGTTTGGGAAGAGAGACAGTTTGGGAAGTAACGATACGAGACTGTTGTTAGTTTGAAAACAGGGCATCGAATGATGGAGTAAATTTTCTCTACCTAGTCTCTATGCCGTTTCATCGTAATTTCCGTGTTTGGTTCCTTCAGTTGCCTTTTGCTTCTTGTAGTTCTTTAAAATCAGAGGTTACCACTGAATTACTTATCGCTAAAAATAATTCCTGCGCAGGAACTTGTTCTGAACCCCTTGGAGTAGGATGGGATAACACTCTGCCAGACAGTGCCTTTAACGCATCATCGAGTCTCTTCACACGTAAGTAGCTAGAGATCATTAAGAATTTGTCAAAATCTATTATATTCGCAACGGATCTTAGGGAAAATCGAAAAAAAAGTATTGTCATTATCATAGCTTGCCGAATTTTTAAGTACGAAAGGAGCCCGCTAATATAACTTGCTGTGATTATTTCTAATCCAGGTCCATGGGACTTTGGTCCATATAATGGAAGACTCTATCTACAGGACGATCGCATCAGAAAGAGGATTGGTGGCTGGTGTGCGAGACACAAGAACCATAATCAGTGGTTACAGGTGGATCTTGGAAAGATAAAGTCCGTAACAGCTGTTGCCACTCAAGGTATAAGCTCTATTTAGGGTTAGGACACCTTCAGCTTCGTTACCGGTGGAGGTCGGAAGTTGGAACGAGTGCATGAATTGCATATCGTACGAACCCTACAAGCTTTTGCACGCTCATGTTTTGCTCGTGCATATCCCATCTCCTCCATATCGAAGGACTGAGATAAAAAAGGTGCTTTCGGTTAGTTTTGCCCTTGTATGCTTTAATTACTCTTATTGCAGTTACGACCAACTTTTGGGGGTTGGCTTTAGAACACTCGCTTAGGCAAGAGGAACCGACACGCTTCTTCTGGAATTTCTTCTTTATTCAGTTAAATCCTCAACTGTTCAACAGCTCAACAAACTAAGTCAAGTCTTCTACACATCCATACGTACTTTATTAGTGAACATTTTTGGGTTATAGGTCTTTCGATTTTGGAGGATTAAATCACTCTGTAGAACCTCTAACCCAAATATTCGTACAGGGTTTGTAGGAGCGAACAAAGCACTTGATATTCTACGCAATTAGAAGTCAAAAATCACAAACAGGAATTATGTTTTTGGTCCAAACCAAGGCCAAGAGACAAATCCAAACAAGAGCACCATTAACAAAACCCAGACCGGAACTACGTTGTTCATGTTGTTCATTGCAAACATACAAAATATTTTGATCAATCTGGTAAAGGTATACAGGTTCAAAGCTAGAAATCTAAACATAACACGCTAATCAGGAAACGTAACGTAACGTTGGGGCTAAATCTACCTTTGACAACTAACTTCAAAACATTACTTAGAGAGAAGCGCAGAAAGAAACGCAATTCACCAGAAGATATCTGAATTTGGTGTATCATTTCTGTTCATACGGCTTCAGACATTACTTTTATACCCGAACCAATACATGGAGATCCAAATTATAAATGAGCTTATGAATTATCAATTGACTATTGTTTCTGTCAGGTCGAGACAAATATTACGAGCACGTTAAATCCTATGAGCTGGCATTTAGCAAGGACGGAGTGCGATGGAATCGTTACAAGGAAAACGGAAGAGTTCGGGTGAGATTCAAATACTTTCTCTAAGTCTACGTAATTTAAATTGAAGGAGTGTAGATATTATGCCCCTCCCTGAGAGAGATCGTAAAAGTTTTTACGAATTTGAGCGTAGGTCCTTTTCAGTCGACCTTGGTGCAAAATATAGACTTATACCACCGGTATGAGTTTATTCCAGAGGACTCATATACAAGAATGAGACGGGTGTGTGCGATTTCAAGGTTTGGCGCCATCTCGAACTGGCTGACCACTCGCCTCGATTTCATGAGAGAGCTTTGAATCCCGCTGGCTAAGTGTCCCGCGGGTTGACGCGCTTTGGTCTGAATGTTATGAAAAGATACGTATAATTAAATTCAAACCAAATGATCAAACACACTTCACTAATCAATTACTGTTACTAGTTATCATGTGTTAGTAATTTTATTTTTTCACTTTCTTTCGGTGAAAGGTATTACCGGGAAACTGTGACAACTTTACCCCAGTGATCAACAAGTTGATCCGGCCCGTTCAGGCCAGGTTTGTCCGGTTTTATCCCAGAACTTACAACAATATATGTATGAGAGTCGAAGTGTACGGATGTAGCAGGCAAAAAGGTGAGGCGAGACAGTAAATAGAGTCTGTGAAGTTAGTTAGATCGTCCTGTTGGTAAGCGCTCTAAAATACATATATCTCCGCGTTTATTTTCTCTATTATCAGGTTATGAAATGAAGAGAGGACGTTAGGAACGCTAGCTTCCGTGTTTAAGATGGCAAGACTGGACAACAGGGAGAAGCCACCGGAAGCTTCCGTGTTTGGACTGTGAAGCCTGGTTAACAGCCTCCGGAACTTTTAGTTACATGAAGCAAGCAGTACAATGGGAAACGCTTCTGCTGTTAGATAATAGGTTTGCAGATGGAAAAGGCGGGGAAATTATGCAGCAGTTTGCAGAATTAGCTACGCTTGAAGCGCTAGTTTTGAAAGTGGCTTGGGTAAAGCATCAAACTTCACATTTAGGTAATGAGTTTGATATGCAAATGATTGAAACGATTTTGCTTAGATATCATGTGTCGAACCTCGGACGACCCATGAAATGTTTTAGTGTTTTAGCTGAGCCTCAAACAATAATGGGAGTGATTAGGGAAAAGCAACAATCAAGAGGATCACCTAATTCCTCTGATAGCATATAACAACCGTTGTAACTTAAGTGGGGGGGGGGGGGGGGGGGGGGGAATGGCTGGGAAATGTCAATTTTGAGTTGAGACGGACATCCAATGTGCATTCTCGCTTACGAAGCGCAAATTTGATACTTTTTTCAAAGTCTTTTTCGTCAACACAATCATTCCTCACGTTTTCCGTCTTGAGGATATCAGATCGAGGTTGGCCTTCATGAGGAGGTCTTGGAAGAAAGACTCGTTTGCTAAACCATGTATAGACATCTCAAGTCGACCTGACATTTCCCAAGGCCAGAGATATGAGCCTGGTTTCTTTCCTTTGTTTTCTCGTAATGCTACTGAGTTCTTGCGTAGACTTTGTGACCCCAAGCTATTCCTTACCTCTTCCTTACTTAACATCCTCGTTCAACGATAGCACCTTAACCCGCTCACTGAAAGCGATTGAACAAATCCTAGGTGCCTTGGAATTCGTCCTCCACTGTTTCAGTAGCGTAAGGACACAGTTGCATACTTCGTTTATTTCGTTCAGTTTCTTGGAGATGGCCCAGAGAAACTGCCGCGTTCTTGGCTCATCTTCGAGCAGCGTCAGTTAGTTCTTTTAAACATTTAGGGCTAATATTTAAATTATTTTAGAAAATTGTGTAGATGAGATCATAAGTTTTTTTTAAAAGTTTGCGTAAGTTTGCAGACACCCAGTGCGTTCATATAAACATTGTGAAGTAAAGCCATTAAAAAAAAAGCCAAAGTTTCGCGCGATGTCCAAGCACAAGAAGTCTTGGAAACCACTTCAGTTAGATATTTTCATAAAATGTACATATATATCATTTTAGCGAGAGATATTACTGATATTTTCACTAGTTATTTTTTAAAAAGTCCACAAGTTTTTCTATTCCATTTACGTGTTTTTATCTTTAGTGCGAAGTCTGTGATCAAGGCTATAGTTAAATTGATCATATAAACTTTTATCGAAGACAAGCTTAATTATCAAAGACATTTTGCGATTGTCAGTTATCTCATTCGTACTTATTCTCTCTCCTTCTTATACTAATATTGAGTAAACCTTTAAAAAAATCTCAAATAGCCCAAAAACTTAAAAAAAAGTTAACTTATCTTGCAACAGTTTTTGTATCAAGTCTGTTGTGTTGCAACGACGATCACGTCACGTGACTGTCGGATCACTTGACTATTTGTGCGTCTCACACGACAAAGTCAAGAGCAATTTTTTCTTGGAGGAAAAGTAGTTTCTTGCGGCAGTGTGATCCATTTTATAAGTGCCTATTTTAGAATGATTTTCTTCCCTTGGAGCAGCTCATAATCATGGGCTAAATTGTTTTCAAATCAGGAAAGAGGTTTCGTGGAGAAATCTGTCGCCTTCAAGTTCGAGGCTTCAGGGCAGAAATCGCTATGAAGAGACTAGGGAATGGTATAGATGTATAGACTTTACACTCTGTAAATGGAAGAAGGATATGAAACAAAGAGAAATAGATATATTTCAAGGAAGAACTGATGTTTTACGAGTATGAACGCAGTATACTCATCATAGCATGTGATTATCCCTTTACGAGAGAATGTACCCACAAAGTTATATTTCTGATGTTTCCGAGTAGTTTCCGTTTCTTGTCAGTTCCTCTCTCTTCCAAGGATGCTCTCTTGTAAATATCCGCTGAACGTACTGATTTTCGCTTGCACTCATTTCCTTTCGAGAGCCTCCACAAAGAAGAGAGGATTTGTTCCCCTTCTGTTTACTTTAAGGTAGGCATTTTACTTTATTGCACTTCGAGGTAGCCATTTTTTCTAATGTCTAATTTTGCTGAATACATTGTTTCCGTGAATTTCGTTTTAGCTCGAATATTGGCTCCCTTCAATCACGCGCATCATCTGCCTCTAACCATATTTATGTAGTCAGTTTTTCACCGTTATGTTCGTAAAGAAATCGATAATTTTGTTCGCATTTGTTTGCAAAGACATCAATAAAATCATATTAGTTAAGAAACTTCGATTGTCTTTTTTTTCAGTGGAGGGAGTCCTTTTCATGCTAAAAATATTCTCTTTTTTTTTTCTTTGACTTTTAACTTTGACTGTGACTTTCGTATGTCGACTTGTTGTAATATAGTTATCGTTTGTGCTTAAGTTTTGTCTTTTCGGTAAAAAGCGGTATTGCGTGAGTTTGACCGCAAAGGCGAGTACCTTTGTGAAGTGTTCACCATGACGATCCCAAACGCCAGTGATGAGTCTTACCAGAGTGACAACCAAATGGTACTAGCTATCGTAAGCCAAAAATTCTGGCCTAGTTTGAACTCGATCCGTTGGCGTTGTCACAAGACCGGGGAAGTTGCATGAGACTAGCCAGTTTGTCAACCGAGTTAGCGAATGGCCTGGCACGAAATATGTGAAAAGTCTTCCTTCGCCTAATCCATTGCGGCGTCACCGCTGATACCGTTGACTCCCATCATGATGGCTATACCTGCTCGCATGGGTCTACCTTCCAGAAGTGAAGAGGCCCTCTTAAAAGTGATCGCAACACTCCGATTTCCAAGCCACAGAATCAACATACAAAGTTACAACTTAGGGTCTCGTGAAAGGAAGTCATTTGAATGTAACGCAATCACCTGGAATGGAAATACCTTTTCCTTGAAGGAAGCGCAGTACTTTCCGTTTTATTCTCTTGTGGTTGTGTTTTTTTCTGTGGGGTTCTACGAACCCTTTCTATTTCAATGAAATCTCAAAAGGATTTCTTGGTAAGATGTATTCCTAAATAACCTGTTGCATAGCGCCCAGTGAACCCCTCTCAGTTGTTGTATTTCAAGCATATCTATTTGGTCATTCTCTTCCGCTGCGCTCGCAATTTTAATTAATACAGGCTGTTGTTTCAATCGGCAAACTATTAATTTTCTTAATATTATCCTCTTTCGTTTGTGAATTTACTTGAAAACTCAGTTGAAGAGCAAATATTGCGTCATAAAGGATCTCGTGATGAATCATGGGAATAGATGGCCAACCAGTCCGTGCCACGACCACGACATCACGTGACGAAATTGTTGTGAGGAAGGCCAGTTTTATCCAACTAAAGCGAGAGTGAGCGACGTCTACAAACTAGAATGGCAAATTTAGCCTTTGATTCGCCTGTTACTTTAGTTATAAAGACTCCAAACCAAAAAATTGACGATTTAAGAATTGATTGTGCCTTGGAATGGTCAGTGGAACAACTAAAAAAGCATCTTTCGAGCGTGTATCCAACCCAACCGGTAAGGAATTGACTTCCGTTTGTGATGGAATCGTTTTGTTTCTAATTAGATAGATAAAGTTTATACTGATTTCGTTGGTTCTGTATTCAAGGAAAGCCAACATCAGAGGATCATTTATTCGGGACAGCTACTGAACGATAATTTAATCCTTAAAGATGTGTTCAGAGAGGTGAGCAACTGGAATTTGTGCGCGGGTATGAAGCGTCTATGTTTATCGATGCATAGAAAGCCTTACATTTTATCCCCATCGCTGATACCTTCTTTCAACTGTATTCAGCATCAGCCCGCATACATGGCCAAAATAGATAGAATGGATTATTATTGTTTAACGTGAGATGCACAGAGAACTCCCACTATGTACATCGAAAACTGTCTTTGCTTCTACCTACGAACGTGACAATACATTAATTACAAAGCATATCGTGAATTTTTCTTGCACAGCTGTCTTCCTTTAAACAATGGATCTTTCTCTTATTTTACCGTCCTATTTCCCCATTCAGTTTTCTCGTTGATTCGTTTGTCTCGGGCAAGGGGAATTTATGAACTGTAGAAACCTCGTTGAAATATGTCAGCCAATGATATGGATGTAAATTAAAATTCTGTATCTATTACATAACTGAATACAGCACCAAATTGACTGAAAAAATGTTTTATAATTGAATTGCAACGGTGTTTTATCATTTTCATGAAACGCAAACAACTCATTCATACTCGTGTATATGTTTTAACAATAATTAAATTTATTTATTTTTGCCTTTTCTTGTGCTACTTTCACTTTTGCTTAAATTGAAAGGAAATCCAGGACCCTCACCTTTCAAATGAATCTTATGGATCCTCTGGTTGGAAATTTCACACATTTCACAGCACACATTTCATGGTGAAAGTTAAAAAAAGAGGAAAATTTTGATAATTTATTTTGTACTAAACTCCACTGAAACGTTCCAACGGTATGCTAAGTCCATAATGTTAAAGGTGTATCACAACAACCAGTCTATACATTAGTTTCCAGTTATTCTATAGAAAGAGATAACATTACTACTTGAGTATTCATAGTTCTATGCGTCTCTTTTACAAATAGTGCCACCTTTAAAAATCTTTCCTCTCACTAATGTGCATCTAAATACAAGATGCAACTGAGGGTTTGCAAAACATTCAAGAATTCTCCTTTCCCCCAGTGCAAGAAGATGAGCCTCTGCAAATACAGAAAATTGAAAATAAATTGAAAATCGAAAATAAATATTATGTGTCAAAATTTGTGCAGATCTAAAGCTTCATAAAGGTGTTTATAGATTTCTATCTAAACACTCCTATTGGCAAACAAGAGCATGCATACACTGTAGTATCTAATTTTTACTCATTTTATTCACAGAAAATATAAATTTTTGCCTGGGAGAATTATTGTACTGTTTCCAGTAAAAATAATCAAAAGTTATTTTTGTCATCTAAAACAGCATGTAGATGGGAAACAACATACTGTTCATCTTGTATGTCCAATGAAATCAGAAACACAGTCTACCACTGATTCTAAGGGAAAGGTAAGAGTGTGCTGAATTTACTTGACTTGTCTCACATGTGCACTTATGTTTAAAATAATTTGTTTTTATCGTTATTTCAGAATGAACCTAGTGCACCTACAACAAATGCCAACACCTCTACTGAGATGCCATCCACAGCACCAACTACTTCACAGATAGCCAGTGATGGACTCAGATACAGGGGAGCCAATACACCAACATATCCACCATTTAACATGTTCCAGTAAGTGTTTTACTTTTATGTCTGACTTGCTAAATTATCATCATCTTAAGACATCACTTTATTACTTGTAGCATAGCTTGTGTCCTACAGATGTTAATTCTATCTGTAAGTTTTTTTGTTGTAGAAATGTTTCCAAAGGAATAGTGCATTGAAAATTACCTCTATAGTGTACACTTCATTTCCTTCTTCAGGGGAAACTAATTGGCTCTCTGCTAGTATACATGTAGGTAAATATATGACTAAAGAGTTTTCATTCCAGGACTCTTTTGGAAGCTACTCAATGTATATGTTAAATTGAAGCATTGTGATACCAGGTTTACTTAGCAAGGTTCAAAACATTCACTGCACCTTTTTTGGGTGATTCATTTTCAACTGCTTTATGTTTTTATCATACTCACTTAATAATAATTTTTGTTCAGTTGGAATCTTTCTTAATTACTTTTCCTCATCCTACAGCCAGCAGATGGCAAATGCTGCATACAACCTTCCTGCCCAGGGACTTGGCTATGCAGTGCCACCTTTTGTTCCACCTCCTTACTGGATGCAGCAGATGTTTGCACAGCAGATGGCTGCTGGAAGGATACCCCAGCCTAATATGTACATGCCAGCCAATTAGTAAGTGTCTTCTTCCATGTGTTACAAAAAGTGCTGTTTGCTGGCAAGTATGTTTATCTAGAAATTCTTCAAGTTGTCATGAAGAATTGAATTTAGTAGGAGAATGATTGGAGGAAGCGCACACTGGGAAGAGTTTCCCTGCATTTTGTAACTGGAAGCAGCCATCATTGTATACCTCCTGCAGAAATTTACAGCTTGCAAAAACCTTAACCCATCCCTTTTAACCCTTTAACTCCCAGATCAAATTTGTTATTCTCCTTGCTGTCAACCATACAATTCTTATAATGTTAGTTCAGAGAATCTAGTATTGGATCAACTAATTATCCCCAAATTGCTATTTTTCTTTATTCTCATCAAAGGGTTAAGAACAACCAAAAAGAAATTTCTTTTTTACAATATCAACACAATAGTCTGAAAGAAGGTTAGGAAGAGAAAGAAATATGTCAAATAGGGAATACTATTGGATTTGACAGAAATTATTAGTGTTAAAACTATGAGAAATGTGTAGTTAACAGTGTGGATTATGGATAACAAGGTCTTAGAGGTGAAGGAGTTTAGGAAGCCTGTGATAGTTATTTCCAGTTTATGACATTTTTTGACAACCCTGCCAATAACATCCTGTATTTCTTTAAATAACTGCCTGGGTGCCTTTATGGCTGAAAGGAGGGGCGCTTCTTAGAAGAAGGGCACGTACTGATTTTGTTGTAGTTTTAACTTAAAAAGTTATAAGTTTTAAGGCATTAGAAACAGGTTGTATCCCTACAACATTGTATTTAAGAAAGTGAGGGAGGAGGAGGAGGGGGGGGGAAAGGGGGCATTGCACTGTACTTGAGAGGGGCACTTTTTTGACTTAATGGGCAAGGGAGTGGGTACTTGATTGGGAAAGGGTGCTTATGAGAGTAAACAATAATTTCCATCTTACAGCTTACAACTTACTAAAGCAAAAAGGCACCATAAATTATCATTCATGTGATATAAAATATGGTATGCTAGACTTGGTCTGCTGACCTTTGGCCAAACCTATGCATATGTATGTTGAAAGTGGTTACTAACTAATACACATACCTGTACTTTGACAACCTTTTTGGTTTTCTTTGTGTTATAAGAAAAATTTGAGTCAATGCTGATGCCACATTGCTTTTCTTTCTGCAGTGGCTATCCACAAATGCCCTACCCCTGGTTCCCTCAGGCTGGGAATGTCCCTGCACCACAAGTACCATTGGCCAACCCACCAGCCCTTCATGTACCGCAGACCCCACCACCCCAGCAACCTGCAGCACAACCACAGGCACCCCAACCACAAGGGAATGAAAATGCTCAAGGAAATGCCAATGCAGGACCTCTATTCAATGATGACGATGATGATGAAGAAAATCCTAACCGTGATTGGTTAGATAAGATTTACACGTTGTGTCGAGTTGGAATCCTCCTGAGCATTTTTTGGTTTTATTCATCCACTACTCGTTTTCTGGTGCTGATATTGACCTTTGTTCTCATCTATCTGTACCAATCAGGGGTGTTTGCTATCTTCAGAAGAGGTAAATTTTGACAGTAAACAGTTCATCTTCATTACACAATCCATTGGAAGTATGTTATCTTTGATCCCTGTACACAATGGATATATCTCTGCATGTGCAGCTACAGTGAAACAACTTTCTCTTCAGCTTTTCAAGTCTTAAACTCCCCACACTCTTTATAAGTTCATGTATTGTGTAAGGTGCACAAATGTTGAATAATGATGTAACTTACTTAATTTCACTAATGATCAATTAATTTTCTGGTGAATCGCTTTTCTAGGTAACAATCGCCAAGAAATTCCCATGCCAGCTCCTGCACCACCCCCACAGCCAGAGCAACAGGCAGAACAGAGACAGGGTGGAAATGTATGTACATCTACATGTAATGTGTATGGTCTCTTCTGGAGCTGTTTGGTTTTTTATGTCATTTACTTATTTGTCAAGTTATGTGACATAATTATTTTGCTGTTACCACCCTATAAGATGTGGTTACAATACTGAAATACTCACAAGCAAAATGCATTTTTTGCTTAGGTTAATTATGATTCCAAAATTATTATTTTGCCCCTCAGTAATTATTGTTGAATCATTCTTTTGATACTATTTTTGCATCTGTTCTACAAGATTCATTTTGCATTTGGTTAACAACAATAATAAATGTATCACAATTTGTTTCTGTTGTTGTGGGAATGAGGCTATTTTCATAATGTTTTGTTGTTGTCATGTTTCCTATCCAGGCCCCAGACAGTCCTCAGGGAGATGTTACTGATAATGCTCCACAAAACGCAGAAGAAAATGGGCTTGGAAATGGGGATGAGACTACTGCTACACCCGCTCTACCTACCCCTCCCCCGGGACCATCAGCTGCAACTGTTGCCTTCAACTTTGTCACTTCCTTCTTTACATCACTGTTCCCAAATACACCTGCTGTGCAAAATTAATGTATTCAAATCACTGTTATCGAGAAAGAGTCTGAATGTCTACTTTTAACCTTGCAATGGACCATTGTCAGAGGACTCTTAGTGAGAAATTTCTGTGAAAGTGAAGAAGATACTACAAGTATTTATGTCACATCCTGGTGGCCAAGACTAGGTTTAGATGGCAGGGTAATGATTATATAAATGTAAGATATAAAAACGCCAATAAGAGAGGTAAAAAAATATTAGAGATATTTTTATACATGCCAACATAGGTGACTATGCCTAAATATATCTGGATTTAATTGTCATTAAATTGACAAGTTAATTCTCCTACATAGCTATTTAGGCCTTAATGTACAGTTAATTAATCATAATCTTTCCAAAAAATGCTACATTTTCTCATGGTGATGAATGTTCTTTTGATATTGCAACATGTTATAGTGAGGGTATCAGAAGATAGAGGGATTTGCAGGGGGGAAACAGAAAATTTTTCACCAACCCCAAGCTGGTAGAAATGGAGGAAACCCTTGAAAATCAGGGGTGCACATTGTTAAATTTTTGTTGCACTGTTGCGATTTCTCATAAAATTATTCTTTGCTTATTGATGCATTTAGCTGGGACAGATGAATTGGTCTTAGCCCAGTTCGTTTACATTTAATAGCCCAAGAAAGATAAAGGGAATGACAAGTTTTATTTAACTTAATGCAAGGCTTTCTAGGTATCTGTTTTGAAAGTTGGCACAAACTGTAATTAGAGACTTTACGGATGTGTTTTGCTAGAATGCCTTTCATATTCTTTAATTTACACTCAGGGAATTTCGTTTGAATCTCAAAATTTGTCAGTAGACGATACAGGAGAATATTTTATTTAAGATTCCAAGAGGTACCATTTCCAGATTGTGATGTTTCAGTTAGCTTGCACTCCTGAATGCAACTTATTAGTACATAAAGAGTGTCAAACAAACCCTGAAGAAATGCAATATGCTAATTACTGTTTGGGAATATTTCCGTGCGATGTTTTAGAAGCAATTTTGTAGTATAAGAACTTCTGTACAAATGAAAATAGTTGTAATGAAAATTAATTTTCCCTTTGCTATGATGGGTGGTTGAGTTGGTTGAAGTGACAGTGGGTTTTTTTATTGAGGTCCAATTACCTGCAATATAGAAATATTTGTGGACAGTGTTGTACAAAAGGGACGGGTAATGTAAATAGACAGGGAATGTTTAACTTATCTATGCAAATTTTATGTAAACAAGGCAAAAAAGAATAAAGATTTTGTCGCCAGCTTCATCTAACTGAAAATTGTTCGTGTGATTACAAGAAGTGTTCGTGTTACACACAGAGTGCGTAGGAATTGTAGGCGCGTCAAGCGGAAGTACATGTGAGCGGAGAATTGTTAAAGTCTGGGTTCGTCTCTGGGAGAGATTGAAGGGAACCCGGTATTCTGACTGTTTACCCGTGCGCTAATTTCACCTCCTCGAGATTGCCGTTTTGGACCCGTGAAAAAAGTTACGTAATAGCGACTAGTTTCAGTAGCGTGTAAAGGACGCATGTGGGGACTGTCTCTTCAATTTCTCATCCAAACTCCGGGTTAAGAGGGAGCTCCATTCAAGAATCTCCTTCCTTGGCCCTGTAGTCCTTAGTTTGCTCCCCTGGGTCTCCCTCAGATACCGTATTTATTCGATTAAACGCCGCCCTCGAATTTACGCCGCACTTTTTGAAGAAATATTAATGAACGCCGCTATCGAATAAACGCCGCAACATGATGCGGCGTTTATTTGAATAATAGACTCAAAAAGCACACAGCGAACAATGCTTCGATGGCAGTAGGTAATTTTGAGAAATGAAGATTAAAGAAAGTAATGTTGAGAAAGCATATCCGACATTAGATTTTCATTCACTTTACCCACTCTACGTATTGTAGTAGTATTAACATGCTCGTCGTGAAAATGAGAAAGATATAAAAAATGACATTTTAGGTGAGCACTAAAACGTTTCTGTTCTCCAAAATTAAAATAGTTAGTTACCATAGTTGCAAGAAATAAAGTGTATTTTAAATAAACGCCACCCTCGAATAAACGCCGCACTCGAATCACGAAAAATATGGTAAACGCCGCGGCGTTTAACTGAATAAATACAGTACACACCCCGCGATTTATAGGCAGGTTGGACACCAACAAAGTTGCAAACATGTCCCTATACAGTCCGGTGAATTCTTTTTGTCATGTCATAATTCCTTTATTGACCAAGCTTGCCATTCTCAGTCTTAATGAAAAAAGAAAAGGTAACAAACCAACAAACACCTGGTAGGTAAAAGAGGAAACCTTTTCTCATTGTCGCAGTTCACATTTTCTCCATTGAAGCTTTGTAAGTTTAAGCCACTTCCGTTTCAAGGAAATTGAGGAAAACATTCGGGAGAAGGAAATGAAGAGTAAAGTTAACAAGCGTATAGAATACTACTCGTAAATAGTAATGGACTTTAAAAACGTGTAGTGTCATCTCGGAGACAGTGCTATTTCAGTGGGTAACATATTATGTAATCAAGCGTCACAGCCGTACACCTCTACACGCATACAGACGTAGTTATAAGTCACCGGATAAAATCTGATATATCTAGCGGTAACGCCACGCTGCAAGAAATTTAAGACGGGGGTAAAGTGATCACAATTCCCGCCAAATACCTGTAAAGGAAAGAAAACAAAACCGATAAGGAAGGAAACTTTGCTTATTTCAAAACAAGCCGAGGAATAAGTAAAAATATGTGTTGGTTTTCTGGTGAAGTTCCTTGTTCTCTTGAACAAATAGTAAAGACTGCAGCAAGTCTTACCTTGTCTTCGCCATCTGTTTGGTAGAAACTCCAAGAGTTTCCATCCTTACTGAAGGCGAGTTTATACGATTTCACGTGCTCGTAATACTTGTGTCGTCCTAATATTTGAAGAGAAATATTGTTAACAAGTCTAGAGCATAACGTTCATTAGGGAACTTGCTTTAAAAGTCAGCTGGTATCATGTCCTCAGGACACAGTTGGCGAATAATACTTCCTATTGATGCTTTCGCTGTTACGAGTATTTTGAGTCTGATTAGGAAGAAAAACGTTACAGGATTTTTGTCTTTCTCGACTCTGCAATTGCTTGAATTCTAGAATAATGGTGAGGATAATGGTGAGGATCCACCTTCCGAGCAATCCTCCGTTCGCCCATGAGACACGAAGCTGAGAACCTTGAAATTTTTTTTACATTACATCTACTAGAGCAATTTACATTTGAGCGTTAAAAGCAATCCGGGATTGTACCGAAGAAACCATGTCACCTCCAGCAATGAAATGCAACTTAAATCTCATTGCAACTCGCTCATATGCATATCTTCCCTCACTCCAGGAAGTTTGTCTTTTTTATATATAATTCCAGTTGGCCCCTTATTTTTCCTTTGATCCTCTCGGTCTTTCTACCGGATTGGTTTATTTAATTGAAATGCACTTTTAAAGGGCAACTAATAACTAAGTTATCTGTAGTTATTCCCTCTTCATCGTTGATCACCTTGCGTTCCAACAGCTGTAATATGTTTGTCCATTCCTAAGTCCACTTGCAGCCATTGGTTCTTTGGCGTCGCTGCGCACCAGGCCCCAACCCGCTTGGAATCAAAACTGTCTGTAAAATACATTCGTGCATTGCGCGCACCGCTGTCCCAGCCGCCACCTGTACAGCCAATGAGAAATGTTAGTTTTTTATCTCGTACCCAGATCCTACCGTGTAACTGTAACTGAACAACAGCTTAACCGTAAAAGGTTTGGATATGAGACCAACTAGTTGTGTATACCCCGAGATGTAGAGCTATGGGATTGATTAAAGAAAGAGTGGACAGTCTTCTTACCAACATCAAGTGACGAAGACGCTGAAAATGCGCTGTCAGGCAGTTTAAAATTCCAACCTATTCCAAGTGGACTGGAGCATGGAGCTACCGAAGAAAAAATAAAAACACGATCTTTATTTTAAGTTCGGTAAAGCTTCTAACAGGTTTGAAAAGCCTAAAGGCAACTAAAAAGCTACGCGTGCCTAGTCACTATTTACCCTTTACACCCTAACGTCAGCATGTATATTCTCCATACTGTTCTCTATACATTTCCCTTCGTGCTAACAAGGAGAATTTGTTTACCAATCAAAAGCTTCTTTCGTTGTTGATCATTTCCTTTATTCTCATGACCTTAACGTGTGATTCAGGGGAGAAATTGGTTGGGAGAAATTTGATGCCAGTCACTGTTAGGGTTTAAAGGGTTCATAAAAAGTCTTTGTTTGCTTGCCTCTGAACAAAGAAAAGGCTCAAATAATCAGGAAACTGACACTGGAATGACAAGATGGAGGTTGAGTTTGTAGGTTCATGTTCCTAACCTTATGGGTCGATTGACTGAGACTACAAAAAGAGAAACATTGATGTCTCCTCGTTCTTACTTGATTCAAAATTTATTAGATTCCCCTGGCAAACCGTCCGCCGTGCATAGTTGGAGTTCACTGATACGCACCCCACTTGTAATTAAGATTCCAACACTAACTCGCGGAGTTTTCATGAAATATAACTTAAATAAGAATAGGAAAAGGAAAGCTTTCTCAGGAGCTTAACTATAATTCTCCTTGTCAAAGAAATACTTCCTCTTCTCATACACCGGCGTGGAGAGAGCATTCTTCACGGAAAGAAACATTTCCTAGCTGTACTAACCAAGAGGTCTAACAGGTTCTTTATCGCATAATTTGGATCCACAACTCTTCTTGCAGTTTTCTCCCATCCAGCCTGGATTATTGGTGCACTCCCCCCTCTTGGCAAAATCTGCGCAGTTTGGATGGAGATCTTCGCACTTAAAGCCTGATATAAAGAAAATAGTGTTGAAAGTCTTTGAAGCGTTTATACAAAATCAAAGACAAAAAAATAGGTTATACGCTAAACAAAACTTTCTTATATAAGATAGTTCTTCTCACCTGTGGGCTTTTCTGGTATTATTATTGGTGGGCGTGGCGTGACCTTTGTGGTTGGTTTGGCTGGCTTTGGTGTCGTAGAGGCCTGGGGGCGAGTAGATGATGCTGGTTTTGGTGTCGTAGAGGCCTGAGTAGATGGTGCCTCAGTGGCCGTTGTGGATTTCATGGGGGTCGTTGCTGGCGGAGGATTGGTCGGCTGAACTAAGAGATAATAAAAAACCGTTGAGTAAGACAATCTTACGATAAATGGGTACCTTTACAAAGATTCCATGGGCAACAAATCCACACGCCGCATGTCGCAGATTTTAGTCTTTACTGCGATGTATTCTCCAACGAGTTATGCAGTTATCGTCGCATCTCACAATCAACAGTTATGCTCACTTGAGAGTCTTCACCTTCCCGGAGATTGAGACATCAACACAAGGCTATTAATTTCTATGATTATGCCTTGATTGATTCACTGTTTAACTTTATTTCTCATTGAAACAATCGCGATTGGTGTGTATTGACTGACTGGGCAACCGAACGACCAACTGATTGGCTGACAGACTGACAGACGGATGGACTGACAGGCTGACTGATAGACTGACGGTTGGTTGGAGGTTGGTCAGACGGTCGAACAGTCGGACCCGCGAATCGTCGGACCGTCGGACGGTCGGTCGGATCACATGGTCAATCGAATGATCAATCGACTGTCTGCCAATTAATTAATTGACTGATTACTAAAGGGAAGATTCAGACCGTTAGATTCTTTATATTCCCTTACTTCTGTACAAACGTGGAACTGATCGCAACGCCAACATTATCGTCAGTTGTCCTTGCTAAAGACATATTATTTTCGTTTACCTTGAATGCTTACCTGGACAGCCATAAAACTCAGCCCTGAGACAAATGTCCGCGTGCCAGGAAGTTGGGAGAATACGGACAAATCTGGCAACTATTGGGCTTGTTAGCTGATTTGTCTTGACTGTTGACATGTCACTGTTTCCAACAAAAACCTGTTGAAAACCCAAGTTAGACGATCGATGGCGAAATGAGTACCGTTATTTCTGGATAACTTTCACCTCTCCATTTTTAAACTAATTGAAAGTTGTCTGTTCCTCCGGATTTTTTCTGAGGTTAAAAACGGGTTTCTGAAAAGATATTTCGGCCATTTTCAAAGCTGATATGCAATTTAAAAGTTAATATGACGGATCTTTGTTTGTGCCTTTTGACATCACAATTAAACTAACCATTACCATTTCATGATTCAAAATTCAAGGTAGATTGCGCAGGGGCCTGCAGTGTGGTTCAAAAACCATTTAACCTCGGATGGAAACCCTTAAGAATGT